AAAAAGAAACCCCCCCCCCCCCAGAAAAAGGGAATGACGAATCAGTCCTGAGTATTCTGTACCTAGAAAACCCTGGAAAGGGTGGCCATGATTTAGAATCGACTTGACAGCTTTACTGGCATTGGCTGATGAGAGTTAAAGTCAACAGTATCTGGGGCACTGCATAACAGAGAATGGAGCCACATATACCTGAAGTTTCCCTTCAACCCTAGGCTAAGAGCTTGTCTAGACGAGTGAAAGGAAGCACATTGTTTTGCTTTTCTTACGTGCACCGTGAAAGGTTATTTGTGGAAATCACCCTTTTCCAAACTTACAGCTTATATGTTTTTTGTGCTGGAATGTTTCCACACTCCTGTCTGCACCCAGCATTCCTCCCTGCACCCATCCTTGATTGCATCTTGGCTGCACACCCCCTGTGTCAAAGACACAAGAGGAGCCCAGGCTTTATACTTCCTCTTTCACCCCCTCACCAAATTACTGTTGATCCCTAAGCAGGACCACTAATAGAAAACGCCTGGCAGAAAAGAATAGGATTTAAAGCTTGTGGCGCAAATATGACTTCAGAGTGGTGCAGCGGCTAAGGTGGAAGACGGAAGCTCAGGGCAGAACTAGATAGGACAGTTAACACACCATTAGAAGCAGTCCTTTCTTAAGAGGTTATAGGATGTCTAATTATGGTTCTGAGTTACAAGCTCTCCAGTTCTGTCTACCTCACAAGATGGTTGTGAGCTTGGATGCTTCTCTGAGATCCATGGAGAAAAGCAGCATGCTAGCAGCGTGAAACAGAAACGTTTCCAGGATTAATGTCAAACTAAGGGAAAGGATGACAATGGAAAACACGACAGTACTTACTTGCAACCGTAATATGACAGGCAAGGCACAGTGCCCAAAAGAACACGAGATGCTTGGCCCCCATTCTAGCTTCAGTTGCCACTTCCACACACCAAATGGGGATTTAGTCTTGATTCTTGCTCAGCTGGATTTCCAGTGGCCAGGAGGCTTCTATTTATTTCAGAGAGCCACACAGGCGTAGTCAAGCCAAGGGCTATTTTAAGTAACGTTTATGCCAAGTTGCATAAAGACTGATTTCCCGCATAATTTTTAGTGCTGAGTTCGCAATTCAGTAACAGAACCAGAACAAAGAACTAGGCATGCAATTGACGCCCCTTGGGCATTCAAGTTCCCAATAATCAGTTTAGGACTGTGGAGATACACCTGCATTCCTAATTCAGTACATTTCAGGCTCGATGTTGAGAATTCATTGGTAAGTCCTTGGAATTGTGGTTAGATGCATGCCATTCATATAATATTCAGTGGGTTCATTCTTTGATAAGGACTTCCCTAATTTTTTTTAACTCCTTCATTGGGTCAATGGAAACAAGTGTAGAGTTAAACTATTTGAATCTGGAGTCAATGCTGCCTGCCTCTTAAACGTCTGGCTTTGCATCTTCACGTCATGTATCCACCTTGGTAATGTTGACTTAGGATTTCTCTTCTGAGGTTTCACATTTTTAACCACAGGACAGACAGGAAAAATACCCTAGTTCTACTTAAACTTGGCCAGCACAGACAGTTGGAAATTTCATTCAGTTTAATGCAGGCTTCATAACAATTAAAGTCCTTAGCAAAGCATTTGTGGCTTGTCTAGTCCTTCTGATACTACACGGTTTGCCAGTAATCCCAAACCATATTTCCACTGCCTTTGAGGAAGAAGTATGTTTTAATCTGGTTACTTCACCCAAAGTGAATTAGAACAAACACTGGCTATCACAGTATTTAGAGGCTTATGGATATATTTTTTCTCAAGGTCTGGAAGATGTTCTTCCAATATAACCCACAAAAACTGGGCTTGACCCTTAACCTAAAATAACTGCTGTTCTCAGCCTCCAATCTACAAGTGGGGTCTCGACTTACGAACTTAATCCGTATTGGAAGGCAGTTCTCAGGTCACAAAGTTCTTAAGTCGAATATGCATTTCCCATAGGAATGTATTGAAAACCATTTAATCTGTATCTGCTCTTTTCGTCCATAGAAACTAATGGAAAGCTGCTATTCCGCCTTCTGCCACTAGAAATAAATAAATAAATAAGAATGTTTTAATCTGGTTGCTTCACCCAAAGTGAATTAGAACCAACACTGGCTATCACAGTATTTAGTGGCTTATGGATGATTGCTTGATGTTTTTTTTTCCCTCAAGGTCTGGAAGATGTTCCTCCAATATAACCCACAAAAACTGGGCTTGACGCTTAACCTAAAATAACTGTTTTTCTCAGCCTCCAATCTACCAGTTGTTTTGGACTTCAACTTTCTAGAATCCCTTACTGTTGGGCACACTTGCTGGGGCTTCTGGGAGTTGAAGTCCAAAAGTTTTGGACTTTAACTTTCTAGAATCCCTTGCTGTTGGGCACACTTGCTGGCGCTTCTGGGAGTTGAAGTCCAAAACATCTGCACAGCCAAAGGCTGAGAAGCACAGACCTGATGCACACCTATGACCTGGAGTTTTGAATAGACATGGGCACAAACCAAACCACAAAGTGGAAAAACCAACAAATCGGAAGCAAAACAAAGGGCCAAACTTTTATCCCCCTCAGAACTTTGTTTTGCTTTAGCAAACGGATGCCCATCCACCCGTTCCCATAGCCCCGTCACCTCTCTACCTGGTCTTGCCGCCACTGCCGTGAGAGGCAGCAATCGTGAGAGGCAGAAATCTGGCTTCCCTTCCAGGAGCCAGGCCTGATGTTCTGCACATCTGCCCATTGCCCAGCTGATAGATGGGCACAAGCCCTGAGGCAGCAGGCTCAGCTCCGGGAAAGGAAACTGGCCTGCTGTTTCTGACAATGGGGGTGGCATCAGCAGGACCAGATAAGGAGGTGAATTGGGAAGCGGGCAAGCAGCCAGTCTCCCCCCAGCACAACCCCGAAAAACGAACCACGATCCATCACAAACAACTGGTTTTTCTGCTTCGTGCCCACCTCTAGTTTTGAGAAGTCAGTTCCCTGCAGTAGGGTCTAGTGGGAGGGTGTTGAAAGAGAACAGAAAGATAAAACAAGCAGCGAAGAAGGGGTCAGAGGTTCAGATTCCGTAAACAAACCAGCTTCTTCTTAGGAAGGGCACAAATATTTCCCAGCCTCTGAAAGAAACTTCAAGGTCATTCAAAGTGGAGTCAGAACCCTCCTTGCTATGTTTGGGGGAAAAGAGAGATTCCTGGGAAAATTATTGTGACAGGAGTTGCAGCTGGGGTGAGAGAGAGCTGGGAAGAGTTCCCATATAAACTTCATTCAAGTCTCTTGGTATGCCAAGAGAGAAAATGATCCCAAAGTCGAACAATGCAATGGTGAAAATAAATGATGCCCCCAATAAGGGAGGAGGGCGAGACCAAGTTTGTTCGCCTTTTAAATCAGAACTTGACCACAATTCTAAAGGGGAGGAAGTGAAATTGACAGCCATCTCCGTCCCACTGCCCTGCACTGCTCAGATGCGTGTTGTGTGCATGCTATGTGTACCAGCTGTAGAGTTCCACTGTCCACGGTGTAGAACAGGGATTCCATATTTACCTACAAAAATTTAATTTTTAAGCACAAAGTACACGTGACCCATGCATACCTCTATAAACCATTTCCATGTGTAGAGGCAGAACTGAATGAGAGTTTTTCAGCTTTGGCCATTTTAAAAAACTTCTGTGGCTTAAACTGCTAAGAAGTCCACCCACTCATCCTGACTCCCTTAAATCAAGCCATACAGTAGGATCCCTATATCTGCGGTAGATTGGTTCCAAGCCCCCCCTCCCGCCAATGATAAAAGTGTTTCCCAAGGTGTGTATAAAGGTACCTGCAGATATATTTTTCCAAGTATTCATGCATGGTGGTATCATCACATTAGCCAGAGTTAAAGCAGAAGAGATGCCTGCACACTCTGCTCCGTCCACATCTCAGGCATCGTTTTAACAGACTTTTAAAGTTCACAGAGTATACTGTATGCCTCTTTCCAATCATATCAAACACATTATTAATATACACAGACATTCAATCCAGGATGCACCTGGCTGTAGTCAAGATCCTATCATCGGCTTCAGGAGAACCTCAAATATAGGAGACAAACCGGTTCATACTGAAAACATTAATAAAAATTCTAGGTCTAATGATATCTCGAGTCATTGTGCCTATGGTCATTGTTCACGTTGTCATCGGAATTCACAGTTAAATGGATTTGCCAACCCAGGTGATAAATCACACATACTTTCTTCACTCATATTCCAAATGCAGTGGTGCCTCACTTAGCGACATTAATTCGTTCCGCAAAAATTGCTGCAGAACGAAAACATAGCTATGCGATATTAAAAAGCCCATAGAAACGCATTGAAACCCCTTCGATGTGTTCCTATGGGCTTAAAACTCACCGTTGAGCAAAGATTCTCCACAGCGCCGCCATTTTCCGTGCCTCTAAAGCAAGGAATCCGTCCCTAAACACAGTGGGCGGCCATGTTTTTTCCCCGGTGGCCATTTTGAAACCGCGGATTAGCTGTGTGAAAATGGGGGCTTTGTGATGATCGCTTCCCTGTTAGCTGTATGAAAATGAGCGAAAATACCCCATAGAGAACATCGCAAAGCGATCGCTTTTGCGATCGCAAAAACAGCGTAGCTAAGCAATTTCGTCGCTAAACGGAGCAATCGCTGTTGCCTTTGTTATTAAGTGTTCTTGTTCCAAATTGTATGTGTGCCAGACATTCAGACCTATAACTCTTAGAATATCTGAATGTAAGAATAAAATTAGACGCAATTGACATGAAGCTCCCCTTTTCACGGACTTCAATCAACTTAACTATTCATCTGAAGAGTTGTTTTGCCCTGGCATATACAGTATACAGCCGTGTTCCTACAAGAGAGAATTTGGGATGGATTTATTGCTGAAAAGGGAAGCCTATTGGAGTCATGAAATAAACACTCTTCTTTCTGATGGCCTTAATGATCAGAAAGAATGATCTGTTGTTTTTTAAAATATGTATTCTCGAAGGCTTTTAAAAAATAAATAATACTTTGTGGTTCCCCATCATGATAATTATAACACAACCAGCTTCATACAATGTAGCTCAATCCTGGAATGAGCATATTTTGAGAGAAATGGATGGGCACATCCAGTATTATGTTATGTATGGTCTATTGCATCAAGAGTATTCCTTTTTTATGGATTTCCACTATAGTCACAATTCTTTTCTTGTTAACAATCTCTAAATTTTCCCTTCGGCCAATATTGTTCTTAATGTAAATACAACTGTGTACTATTTATGTTAGCAGCTCATAACCTGTCTTATATAAGCATAGGTAGTCAGAAATTTGGCTGGTAAGACTTTGTCAGCTTCTTACTGTTTTGCATTCATTAGTTTTAGTGGATATATTTACAAATAGCAGTACTGTATTATATTTGTCCATTCACAGTGATAGTGGCTAAAATAGTGGCTCTTTGTGTAGCAAGTTGAAATCGTGTAGGCCCACAGAATCAGTGGGGATTTTGTGAGAACTCCTCCCTACGTTCCATGGATTCAAATGGGCCTACTTAAATTGTGATTTACTATGCAAAGTAAGTCAAAGTTAGAGGAGGCCCATTTGAATCTACAGAAATTATAGAGTTGACTCACTAAATCCATTTATTCAGTGGGCCTACTCTAGTGTGATTTACCTGGATACTTACATTGCCACACTGTTTTCCAGATGCTATGTACACTGTGGTTTGTATGAAGTACTATAGATTTATACAGGGTTTTTGTGATCCTTTTATTAATTGTACAAGCTGTATAATAGCTGGGGTTTTTCTACAGTAATTGGCAATTATATGTTTGAATGGTGATTCTGCTTGACTACTTTGCTTTTTCTTGGGTGGGGCTTTCTCCCTTGGTGTTTTCATTGTATCAATGACCCCTTACTTAACCTATGCCACACTTAGTTTCCAGTTCCCCATTCATTCTTCTGCCTTGCCCTTCTCTTCCGTGCCTCTGGGAGATTGCACAAGGTTTAGTTTTTAAAATCACGGGCACGGCACAA